AAATTTTGCCATATTTTTATATGTTGATATATTGACGCGGTATCGATCTATTTTACTGACAAAAGCTCACAAGAATTTGCAAAATATCACGAGAGTTTGTAACAGAACGATGAAATTTCACAAATTTCACTTTTTAAAAATCAATTTGATATCAGCATATGAAAATATATTTGAGTATATTATTTTTCAAAGTGTCAGAAATGGATAACTGAAATTAATTGAAACTGCTATTTTCAATGACTACTTATTTTTGTCCAGCTTTAACATCGGTATCGGTTATCGGCTACATGAGTTTTAAAATATCGGATATCGACCAAAATCCCAATATCGTGCATCCCTATTCTGATCCTCTGTTCTTCTTTTTGACTGGGGTCTCTAGATGAGCTTTATTGATCTCACAGCTGAGAGATTCGCTTGTCACATATTGGCATAATAATTAAAGAAGGTGCAAACAAAGAGGAAAAAGGTGCATTAAGAATAAACAATATATATACAGTATATCAAGATAAATAGGATTAAGGTGCAAGTGTAACAAGAGATAAATAGGATGGGAAAGGCCAGTTTACTGGCCAACCTGGTGCAATGATACCACAGTCTTTAAACCAGGTACTGTAATGCTTAGAGGGCAAGGTCATATAGAATGAAAGCATCAAAAGGGAAGCTTAACGGTACTTTAAAGTTCTCCAATGGCAGCTGCTCTGATGTTGGACTGGATAAAAGACAGTGGACCATCACCACAGCTGACCGTGGTCGGAATCGACCCACCTGCTGGTTAATCTGGACCCAACCTGATTTAAAACATTTATAAATTACTGCCTGTTGTCTAACTTCACTTGCGCCGCTTCTCCTGTTAATATGGTAAAGCCCATCGGAGCGTCCGGCACCAGGCTACCCGTGATACAAATCAGCCAATGAGCTGCTGTCAGTCAGGGTTGCTGCTGCTGCTACTTTTAGACACAGCAGGCAAACCTGTGGCAAGCCGGGCGATGGGAAAGAAGGAGAAGACGATGAGAAAAACTGAACTGGTGAAAGAAAAGTGAAATGGCGTGCTCAAAGATGATTTCTGCACATTTAGAGGATGTTTGGCTCAACCTGCTGCTGTGAAGCAGGATTCTCCACCATGAACAGAATCAAAAATAAATCTGGATCCAGGCTCAAAATGAGC